GGTCTGATGCTTATTTACAATGACCTTAGATAATTTTTCCTCATTACTCAGTGTATTATGTTTGCATGGTGTAGGGGTTCTGGAAAAAAAAAATTACTTGCTCAAGATATGACTGAGATATGGTCACTTGTCATTGTAGTTTGGGCTAGTTCAACTTCTCTTGAGTATAGAATTACAGATGGGGATGGGTACAAGATGAGAGGCAAAGTAAGGTGAGAGCCCACATTCCACTTTCCTCTTGTAAGGGGGCTCCAGAGTGACCCAACGCCCTTTTTCCTCCTGTTACCTGGGCCCTTGTTCCTCTTTGGTCTAAAGACTCTTGGCTCACACAGTCCCATTACCCATCCCCTCATGCACATCTTCACTGATCAGCACCAAGCGGAAAAATTAATTTATGTTGTTTGTGTGTGGCTACTCCTCTTGTGCTTGGCAGAGATTCTCTGGGAGAAAATGCAGAGGGGAGAATGCTTCCTTAGAACCACCATCTCATTTAGTGAACAGCCTCAGCCAGGGATCTGTGCAACCCCACACTCCTTCCTTAAAGTCATCTTGTGAGTTTCTAGTTGTTGTACCCTAAAAGCAATTTTGCTGTTAACATAAGAGCCCCCAATGTATTCTCTATTCTGTTATGTAGAAGTCGGACAATCGATATCAAGAAACAAAGATAACATGAAAGCCAAATGTTTCTGGCACATGGCTGGTCACAAACACCTTGCCTCTCTCCATGTCCCTATTTCCTGTCTTCTGTCCCACCAGTTAAACAGAATTCATCTGCTTTTCCTCGACAGAGCTAGTGCTGCCAACACCATTTCTTCCACATTGAATTATTTATTCATTCAACAAACATTTAAGCCAATACTTCCTATGTATCAGGGATATGAGGATGGAAGAGATCTGGCTCTGTTTTCAAGAAGCCTGTAGTCTAGTGGAAATACACACATGCAGAACTGGTATATCTTATAGGGGCTGGTGTGGGTGGAGGCGTAGGTGTATACAACATGGTGGTAACATGGAGTGAAGTGAGTATGAGTTGCCGGGGATACGGGAGCCAGGGAAGTTACCCTGAGGATTAGGGAATAACTAGGGGTTTTCTAGGAAGATGAGAGAGAACAGAAGGAACAGTATGTACGAGGGCTTAGAGCCATAAAAGAGGATGGCAATTTCTGGGACTGGTGAGTAGCTACATGTGGCTGGAGCCTAGGTTCCATGGGGGAGATGGCACATGGGGTTTGGCCTCTAGAGCCCCTGGGCTTGCTTAGGAAGCTGAGGAATTTCAGAGAGATTTTGACTGATGTACATAGACTGATAGAAGAGTTGACATCCTCCTACTACTCTGTAGTGGATGCTGTAGAGTGTCCCCTGATCCTAGGCACTTGTTCCCCCAACCCCCAACTCCAACAAGCTGTTGGGTGTATTATTGCCTGTGGATGTCTCACAGCTGAGTCCTTCCCAGAAAAGTGGCTGAAGAGAGCTGCTTGTATAAGACCCTGAGGGCACATAAAGGCTTAGCTTCAGCTTGGGACAGCTCGGAAGGGGCATCCCAGGCCCATGGGGATCCACTGACACCTTTGTTGTGACCACATCACAGCTCAGCTCCTCCTTTTGCCTAATTTTACTTCCTTTCCTCCCTGTCTGCCAAAGTCCAAAGAGCCCCATACAGTGAGCCACATGCTGACAGATGCCCATTTCAGAGTCTGGTTGCAGGGATCTCAGACTGCAACATCCTTCACCCATCTGGGTGAAGTGAGTTAGTGGCTTCTCCCTCCTCTCTTGGGTCACCCTCCAAGTCTTCATGGCAGAACAGTGGTTGGGACTTTGGCACACCATGTTTTGCAAAGCTTCTGATTCTTACTGTAACCCAAAATCTTTCTCTGGGCACTTAAAATTTTTTATTTTTTAAATTCAAATGTAATTAACATACAGTGTTGTATTAATCTCAGGTGTACAACATAGTGATTCAACAATTCTATACATCATTCCTCAGTGCTTATCAAGGCAAGTCTACTCTTGATCCTCTTTATCTGTTTTACCTAGCCCCCTCTCCAGGCTCTTTTGAAGACGTGTGAAAGCACACGTGGGCCTTCACTGACCACCCCTTTCTTCCAGTGTATGGCAAGAACGTATGGAGGTTCTTCCCACATGAAAAAGGGAACCTTTGCTGCAGTGACCAGTCAGATCTATGGTTTTGTGGGATTCCACTGGGAAATTGTGACCTGGTTTATTTGCTTAGCATCTTTCTTTGCTCTTAATCAATTCAAAGGGAATATCTGACTTCATATTTACAAAAGGTCATACAACTTAGAATTTTAAAAAAATAGGCAGTAAATGCATATAACACAAAATTCATAAAGATTTAAAAAAAATTTTGGAGTCAGTAATAAATGCATATAGCAAAATATTCAAAAGGTACACAATGGTATAATGTCAGTATGTTACTTTTTTCCTTCTCTAACCCTTTCTCCTCATCTCTTACCCTGCACCCCAGACAACCACTGAGAGTAGTTTCTTTGCACCTTGTAAAGGTAAGAGATTTATCTCTTCCATTCTCTTAGGTGAATTGATCTCCATTGACAAGGCCTTAATATGTGAAGGCTGGGAACCAGGTGTGTTGTATAATTGAACTATTCTATTTCTCAGGCTGCAGCTAATTTATAGATTTTCAGTGTTGGAGGGGTCATTAATAGATGCTTAGTTTGAGAAACCTTTCCTAATTTCCCTCAGGAAACCTTCAACCACTTTGGGATGCTATGCCTTTGTATTTACATCTCAGACATACTTTCCTTTTCCATGTTAACCATAGCTTTTATCTTTTAATTATAAAATCATATCACTTCACACCAGGCAATGTAGATAACCCATACCTATACTACCACCGTCCAGAGTAAACACCTATACCTTGCTATACATACTTCTAGAACTTTCTCTTTGTGTGTCTATGTACATTTATATACATATTCTTTTAAAAAGTAATGTCACACTCTAATAACAGTTTTTCAACTTACTCTAGTACACACTGTGAATATCTTTCCATTTCAATAAATCATTTCAACATTTATATTCATTAGAGCAACCTAGCTGCTGTTATAAATAGACCTGATCGTGTGATGGATGCCCACAGTAGAAGTTTATTTCTTGCTCTTGTACCAGACCTGAACATGAATAGGCCATGAGGGCAACTTTCCTTTAAGTGGGCATTCAGGGACTCAGGCTGCCTGAGGCCTTGCCATTCAACCCGTGACTTCTGGGGTTTGGTGATCTTGGCATTTTAACCAGCCAGACAGAGGAAAGGGCGTGCAGGATCTCACAGGTGCATTGTTGGAAGTGGTGCACATCATTTCCATCCACTTTTTATTGACTAGGACTCAGGCACATGGCCTCACTTAACAGTAGAGGAGGTTGGGAAGCATACCTGGCTGTGTAGTCAGGAATAAGAGGAGGAATTTGGTGAGAAGCTGTCAGCCACTGTCACATATTTATTAATATAGCTTGTCTGTGGTCTCATCCCTACAACACTTTGCACAATAATTGCTGCTGCTCAATAGGTATTTGCTTTCCTATAGTTCAGGTTTAATGACAATCTAGTATTTTTGCTAAGGAGTAAGCAAGAGACACTTCTCAGTTCATGAAGGAAATATGAAGTAGAAACCTGCCACCTGAGAAGGAAAAGCCTCAAGGGAAAGGCAGGGTACTTAGCCTGGACTGGGAATAGAAGTGAAGAGAATACAAACTTTCTGGAAGTTAAGAAGGATCCTGACCAGAAATAGTCGGCATTTGCATTGTTAGGGAACCTGTATTTTCTTTTTCTTTTTCTTTTTTGGCAAAGCTGGATAAAGCATATCTCTATAACCTTAGTGGATCTGAATTATAATCCTTGATGTTTTTTGTAGTCTGTATATTCATACATGCTTACCTTTGCAGAAGTTTTGTCTTGCTGTTCCTGAGAAGACGGATCTGAAGATGCATTGTTGAGGGCTTACTCTGAGAATTAGGGAAGGCTTGTAGCCTAGAAAATGCCACAAGCCCCCAGGGGACCAGCAGTGGAGCTCTGGGGTGGTACCCAGAGAGCAACTGGTTAGGACAGCTGGTATCCTGGCATTGCTGGTAGACAGCAGGATCAGAACTTTCCTTGATAAAATAGGTGTCAATTTTTCCATGTATTAGGTGATCTTGATAGTGATTCTGGGCAGGTGGGGACATGGGGGGCTATGCCAATTCTCCACATACCCTCTGTCCAGGAGAGCCTGAAAGGTTCATAGTGTTTTGTTCCCCTTCTGCTAACCTCCAAAGTATAGTGACTGGTGCCAAGGCAGCTGGCAAAGACAGCTGAAGCTGGGCTCCGAATTCCCTCCTCACCCCAAGCCTGGGTTTACTGTCATGTCAGGAGCCAGTGAGTTCAGTGCATGAACTCCCATTCTGCCTTGACCAGCCATGCCCTTCATCTTTATTTTGGGAATGGTTGATTTCTCACTGTGCAATCTGATCTCCCCCAATATATACTTAATTCTTAGAAACTACCTTGATTCAGGGCTAGGTTTCCTCTTCCCTGTAAGAGGGTGGAAGAACTCCTCTCCTAGATGTTCATTGCCAGTGGCTGTCCTGTTACAAGACCAAGAGCACAATGGCTCTGTTCTGTAGTTGGCCTGGTCGAGGAGTGGACTGAGGACTTCTGGGCATCCTAAAAGCCTTTTATTTATTTATTTTTGGTAGGATTGGTCACAACTGTCTGGGACATATAGGGCAATGTGGGGTTAGGGAGAAGTAACGCTTCGCCCCCTCCCCCACTGTGTCTTCAGAGCTGGTGGCTAGCCAGCCAATATCTAGAGGCAGGTATATATCCTTTAGGACTTAGGAATCCACCTTCTTGCCTCCTGCAAAGGGAAAGGGGGGTGGTTGAGCCAGGTAATTTCATTATTGGATAGAAGATCTGGTCATTTAATATTTTACAACTTACACAAAATCAGCTTAATATGTGGGAGGCTACTTGCTTTTTCAGTGGAATGTTTAAATGGTGCAGCAGTTACTTCGGCTGCAGTAAAAGCTTGGAATGAGTCAGGTAAAGAGTATATATAGTTTCCTTTCAGTATTCCAAGTGGCCCCTGTAGTTATTAAGATTTAAAGCATTTTGGCCTTCAGATCATAAAATTCTTAGAGCTAGGGGGGTGGGTGGAGATGAAGGAACAAAGGAAAGGAAGGAGAAGGGTAAGAGGATTCTTGTAAATGTCCTTAGTTGTTAAATAAGACTATTTTATAGAGCACCATCCATCTGAAAGCCTTGGAGCCCTTTGTGGGATCATACCATCAATCCTTATACCATTCCCTCTAGGAGAAAAGAGGCAAATAGCAATGGACATAAAATAAGAAAGAAGAAGAGGTGCTAAAGATGGAGATTTTAGTTGATTGTCACCAGGAAGTTTCTCCACAACGCGTGTGGGATCAGGTGTCCCAATTCCTTTTCGAATGTTCAGACTGCTCACGTGGCCTTGCTCTGAGCTGAGTAAAGGATGAAGGCTGCCATCTTGCTTTATGATCCATTGACAGTGGGGAGAAGGCACTAGAAAAGAACATGAAAAATCATTGAGGATAGGAGTAGGAGCAAGGCTCTTGGGCTGGGCCAAATGATAGCTTTGCTTGCCTCTATTTTAATTATGAAGTTGTTCGGACGTGGCTACCATTTGAGAGCTACAAACAGCAACTGAGAGCATAAACATATTCACTATTAAAAAAATCAGTGGAAAAAAATGCAGCAGGGGTGGGTGGGGGAAGGAGATATCATAACCTCCCTTATAACCCCTCCCCCAGCACTTACTCCCCATCTAGTGAATCTCATTAGTTGCTGTATAAGGAGGGAATTGTAATTTAGTCATGGTTGAATGTATCCCATTTCCTTTCAGTATTTAGAGACTTTTTTTTTTTTCATAATTATGCTTTTGTGACAAGAGAGGTACTGGGATTCTCTGGGGTTTGGGAATATCTTTGCTTTATCCTGAAAGCACCTGTCTATTCCCTCTGTGCAACGGTTTCTAATCCTGCCTAGGATGGAGAGATACAAAATGGGCTTCTAATTTCATGGTTGAAGTGAGAAGAGATAATATCAGCTCAGTTCCCTGCATAAAAATTATTTCTAATACAAACCTTCTAGAAGTTTCCTTTTGTGGCCGCAACATGGTCAGGAGGATATGCATGTATGTGCATGTAGTTTTCATCCATATATATTTATAAACAGATCATGAGAAGAAATTCTTTTCTTAACCCAAGAATTAAGGCAGGGAGCTCTCTGTTATCAATGTGAGAATGCAAGGTGATTTTTTCCGAGCATTTGTAAAATGCCTTAAGATAGAATCATGACAAGTGTCAGGTATATCTGCTTTGATATGGGGACTCATATTTCAGGCACCCTTAGCAGTGGTTATCTCAAGATGATTGTCCCTGCACAGGCTCCACACATGGATCATTGGCATTTGCTGCAGTGTGATCTAAAAGGAGCTGGGAGAGGAGAGGGTTAAAGAAAATAAATGGGGTCTGATGTGAACATCTTTCCCCTTTTTCAGCTTTTTAGAAGATAAATGTTTCAGATTTCAATCTGTGGTTCCCAGCAATTCTTTGGGAACACTGCAGTCGGCCCACAAAAAATCACTACTGCTGAGCCAACCCTAGATAATGCGTCTCAGCAGGGATGACATAATGTGCTAAAAGAAGACTATGATGTAATGCCCATCTCAGAAATCAGAGCCAATTTCCGTTACAAAGCCTTGGAGTGTAGCAGGAGGTAATGAGCTAGCATAAATTGTGCAGCACGGAAAACTTCTAGGTCTGATATTACAATCTGCATGTTTAAAGGCAAAAAAAAAAAAAAAGAAGAAGAAGAAGAAGAAGAAATAAGAAATAAAATAGAGTTCCTAGATCTGCTGGGCTCAAGAGCATCTGCTCAGCGAGAAGCTCTGCTCCCTTCTGATGTGGACAGACTGGTGCCCCAGGCTGCCCGGATCACCTTGGCCCATGGGGGAGATAGTTGTCTGGGTCCATAATCTGCAACAAGGTGGTGATGTAATGCCTAATGCTAAATTTGTTTCAGCAGTTACTGTTTGAGAAGCGGGCGTGGTATTTGAAGGAGATCGTGCCTTCCCTGGAATGTGGGGGTAACTAGGCTAGAAATGCCTAGCAGGAAGTTGGGGGTGAGGAGCATTGAGCAAAGTCAGATTCACCTTGAAAACTTTACCAGGTGCAACGTGCTGTGGCTTGGAGAAGTACACGTATGGGGGTGTCTCAAGCACCCAGATAACCGATCTCTGCAGCCTCACCTTAGTTAATGATGCATCCCGGCCTCCTGGGGTGTAGCCTGCCCGGCAACCAGAGTCCAGCTCTTTGTTGTGCTTCCTATAAATGATGAAAACAGTTATAAATTCATCTAAGTGATGATCCCGAGTCTCAGAGAACAAGGAAAGGAAATCACGATCTTTGATTTAAAAAGCGTTCCACCCCATACCCGCTACAATTTTCTATTTTCGCTCATTCTTTCCTTCATTTTATTTTTAATTGCTCTGAGTGTTTGCGTGAAGAACACATTTCTATTTTGTTTGCCTTCTCTGTTTCCTGTTGCTTATCCCTCAGTGGGGGCTTGATCCTGTAACCCGCCCTGCATGCCCCAGCTCCCTCTGGATGGAACAGCCGTGCTTTTGTGTCACTTCTTGCTGCAGATTGGGCCTTCAGCACCACAGACCTAGGTAGTGATAGCACTGGCAGAGAAGTGTTGGCTTCACAAGTGGAATGCTGTCTTTAAATAGGGAATGAACATCGGGAGCAGATGAAATTTTTCTGGTATAAGAAAATGAGAGAAATAAAACAGAAAACATGACATTTGGCTAAAGAAGAATTGCTCCTGTGACATGCAAACTGAAATGGGCATTGCTTTCTAGACTTCTCCGTGAAGTGCTATCAAGTCTTTTAAGTGTATGCTTCCCTGCTGAAAAGACAGTCAGTGGCCCAGCCACCAGTGGTCATTTGCAGACTGATCACGGGTCAGATAGTAATCCTACTAATGATCATTTTTATCCAGTGTTTTTAGTGTACAGGAGGAGCTGTCCTAAACTCCTTGCAGTAATTATCTCATTAAATTCTTACCAGAACCCACCCACGGGTTAGGTACTGGTATTATTACATCCATTTTACAGAGGAGGAAACTGAGCCTCAGAGGGTTTAGGTAACTCACCAGGTTCATAGGTAGCATTTGGCCCAGCTGGCGCTGGCGTCCCTCCTGTCATTAGGACTCTGCAGTCCACAGGCTCCATCGCTGTGCAGCACTGATGCTCAGGTGACATTGGGTTTAGGTAGAGATGGTTCCTGTCTTCAGCGTGAGGGATCCCATGGGGCAAATGAGTTCTTTACATTAATATTTGCACAAAGCAAAGGATTGGTGCCTTTTATCTTCTGATCTGCATCACTGGGCCCGATGCTGGGCATATACCAAGTGCTCACTAAATGTTTGCTGAAGGTGTGTGTGTGTGTTGAGGGGGGAGTTGGTCAGGCCGAAGAATGAGTGCATGAAAGAACAAAATCCAAATCAAATAGAGGGCTCTCTGAGAAGGATGTCAGAGAAGAGAGTCAGGTTGCTTCTCGTTTCGCAGAGAAAACCGCCTGAAGAAGATGGTCAACAATGTGTCCACATTAGCACCTAAGTAAGACGAAAGGGCTAGTATTATTTGTCACCAAATCTTTTAGCATCTGACTAGGTGATTGAGGCTGCCCAGTGGATAAGTGGTAGAGAAATGGTATGTACAGATTGTACTCTTAACTGAGGACTCTCCATAAGTGGGTTCTTACCAGTTCTGTAATGTCCATTTTTAAAAGGAATCTCTGATATAAAAACAAATGGGGATAGGAGCATAATCTAACACATAGGAAGGACATGGTAAAGCGGACTATTGATTTAGACAGTCTGTAAGAGACCTTCTTCTTCTTTATATTCAGCAGCCGTGGGTCTACCACTATATAGTTTCTGTTGTTTTTATACAACAGAAAAGAAATGATGAGACTTCTTTGCTCTTCTTTAGTCTGAGATATGTGATATCTCATGTCTGTTTGTTTATTCTGGTCTTTCTAGACTATAAAAAAGACATAGAAGGAAGAATACCATTAAAAAAAAATCTCGGGGCGCCTGGGTGGCTCAGTTGGTTAAGCGACTGCCTTCAGCTCAGGTCATGATCCTGGAGTCCCGGGATCGAGTCCCATGTCGGGCTCCCTGCTCAGCAGGGAGTCTGCTTCTCTCTCTGACCCTCCCCCCTCTCATGCTCTCTATCTCATTCTCTCTCTCAAATAAATAAATAAAATCTTTAAAAAGAAAAAAAAAATCTCGCAAATATCCTTAACCTACAAAAATAATTCAATCAACAAACATTGGGCAACAATGAGACCATCTCAGTGGTAGGTTCAAAATATCATGCTTTCAAGTATCCATTTGATATGGCAGAATTTTGTTTTCATCACAAGTATCCTAGGAAATGCTCTTTGGCCTTCACACCAATTTATTCCTGCCCTTTCTGCATCCTTAATGTCTCGTGAATCGGCTTCTTTTCCATTCTCACTGTGTGCTCTTTTCCTCTCATTTAGGCCATTGTAAGAAGCTGATCCCTTCCTCTAGCATCTCCTACACCAGATCACTGTAGCCCAATTAATTTGCCTAAAGCCCAGCCCTCTGAAAAATTTTCCATGTCTGTCCATCACCAAGAGAATTTAGACCAACCTTTCTAGGTCGTTCTTTTAGATACTCTGCAATTTGGCTTCCAACAAGATTTTCCAGCTGTGTATCTCTCTTCATTTATCTATCCTATGCTTTGGCCAAATCAGTCCACTTGCTGTTTCCCAAACAGATATTTTGTTCTTATGGCTTTGTGCCATTTCCTTTCTTTTCCAGGAAGCCCACTCTTCAGTGTCTTCTTACTGTTTAAGTCTTTTGGGTCCTTCAAGCCCCAGCTCAAGATGCTACCTCTTCAATGAAGATTTCTGACTCCTGCCACCTGTAGATGATATACAGCTTTTCTGGAATCCCGTAGTATTCAGGTCAAATCTCTCAGGGCACTTCTCTTTCTTCCCTGTGTTATAATTGTTAGTGTGAAATGTCACAGTCTTAGAATTTTGCAGCCAAGAGGAATATTTTTCTTCCCTATCTTGTTAAATTGTAAATTTCTAGAGGCAAGACTATGTCTTCTTCATATTCATATCCCTTAGAATGTGCAGCAGAGTTCTTAGCACATGGCAGATGTTCAGTGGATGTATGTCAAATGAATGGGATGAAAATTTAGAATCCCCAGTTGCAATATTAATCATTGAGGCTTATGCAGTCCCAAAAGCTAGAAAAATGGGGCTTACTTACATATCCTTGTCTTTCTGCCACTTTTTGTCCCTTGGATATGGGGAACCACAGAATTCCATTGAGACTTGCTGATATCTGGTTTATCCGAGGAGGCCAAAGAGAACACAAAAATTGGTTGGGAAGGAAGGAGTGATGACAAGGAGATGACAGGAAGATACTGACTAATTGATCTTGTTTTTCTCATCTGATTTTTTTCACCCTTTGCTTGTCTCTTTTCAACCCTCCTTGTCTTCCTCCTGTTCTCCAGATTTTTGACCCACGATAAGGACCAGGGGTGATTGATAAAGTTTAGAAAGATAATATTAGATTACTTGCTCCATAGAAATTTCCTAGTTCTGCTGGATTACTATGTCCATTGAGAAAATTTAAGTCTTGCTTTCCCATTCTATAAAATGAAAGGGTGATAAAAGATTAGCCCTGTTTCCATATAGCATCAGAACTTGTTGAAATCTGGTAAGAGGCAGTACTAAAGACATTTCCCCTGTCGGTTGGGCTGTTGAGTTCTTGAGTGGAATATTGACATTTTCTTTGCTACAGATAGCTTTATGGAGCATATACAGAGCAGAAGCACACATTGTACCAAATAAAATCCATTCATTTTAAACCTTGAGAAGGTGGAAAAGATTTGAGTTGATTGGTACAAAAACTCATAGGGCTAAGGAAATTCTCTCTAATGAATATTAGGGTGATGAAATACCCCTGTAAAATCTAACAAAGTAGATAACAGAGTGGATATTATTGTGGAGAAACTATATTAACCAGAGGGATAGCTAAGTGTAACGATGCCTCTTCTGGAAGCTGGTGTAGGCACACATTTCTCTGAATCCAAGAAAAAAGGATACTTTTCTGGTCTGTGCTCAAGCACCTGTTAAAAGACCTGTCAGCGACCCTCTACCCCTGAATAGCTCTGATGCAGATCCACCTCTGACATCCTTAAAGCATTTCCTTTGACTGAAGATCACAACCTCAGCCTATCCAGGTTGACTTGAAGCCAGCCATTTCCTGCCCAAACCAAAATAACTATGAGCTAAGCCAAAGGTTAAGACAGTTTGAATGGATCAGTACAAAAGACGATCATGAGACAAGGATCATGAAGATGTTTCGTCCACTGATGGTTCCCAAGGTCTCCTGTCCATGTTGGGTAAATAGGAGTAAATAGGAAGGAGAGAAGAGACCTCCCGGGAGATGTATGTGGATCACGAACAGTCCCTTGTGACTACTTATTGACACCCTCCTTCCAGGAATGAACTCACCAGCTGACTTCAAAAGGAGCTCAGCCCACGCCTCCCATTGACCACTGGCTTGTCACCATCACCTTATGGTTAGCTGAATCAAAAGCTTCCGACAGGTCTAAAATTAGCCTGGCTAAACATATCATTAAGGAGTTAGGGAGGAGTGTGAATGACCTTTCTCAGCCCTGGTCTCCCAGATCCAGTCAGCTGTGGGGGCTCACAGGAGTGCTAATTTGGGCTTTTAGGTTCTTGAAATAAATGACCCTTTAGATTGATTTTTTTAATTGCCTGAAGGTAGATACTTTTAGAAAGTTTGGAAGCATTCTGTTCATCTATTTTGAATCATTTGAGTATAAAAATGTGGCATTTTCACACTTTGGGATATTCAAGTCCCCTATTCCTTTTTTAAAAGTCTCTAATATTTTTTTAAACCTTTCAAATTAGTTTATTTAAAGGCCAAATTTGATTTCCTCAGTTTCTGAGGTAAGAATGTAACTTTACCAGCTTCGAGGGAAAAGGAAATCATGGTAGCTCATTGTAAAGAAGTTATAAATATGCGGGAATACTATTCTAAGCATTATATTTCTGGTTGGAATTAAATACCCATGAAGAAGAGTGAGAAGGCAGGGCCTGTGTTTTTACTCCTTTACACCAACCTTTAATGGCAAATTAAAGTAAAATATTTATTCTCTTTATCTTTGTTACTCAAGGAGCTCAAGGACACCCTTATCCTCCATTCTTTCCAAGTTCCAAGTGCAAAAGACCCAGGGGAAGAAAATGAAGATGACATGGTGCCATTTCTGAACTCTTGGTTGACATGAGCCAGACTGTTTCAATTTCTTTACTTTCCAGCCCAATTATTTTGAAATTCATTTCTCTTCTCACTAAGCCAACACGTCCCAATGTATGTTTCCTAGAACACTGAGTCCGTAGGATGTTAATAGATGTGACTTGAAAAAAGAGTTTTGAGTTAAACAGATTTCTTTACTGCTGGTCTTCTTTCTCAGATTCCCTAGTGTGTGATGTGACTCTCCAAAAAGGGAATATGGTATGTAGTATTTCTGATGCCTATGTGTCCTGGATGAACCTACTTTCTCTCTCTCTCTCTCTCCCTGTCTGTCTCTGTCTTTCTCCCTCTCTGCCCCACTCTCCCCCTTTCTCTGTTTATTAAACCAAGTAGCTAGAAGACTGGTGTTTTCAGGAGCACAATCTGGGAAGTAACAGAAGATGATATTTGTAATTTCAAAATCGTAATTCTCTCTCAGTTGACTGAGCGGCTCATTTTCCTGAGTAGTGATTATCTAGAGGTATGTCCCACCTTTCCTACCACTGGGCAGTGGCCCTGGACAGTCATTTGTCTTCTCTGGGCTTCTATCCCTTTGTCTGTAAAATGAGAGGCTGGGCCAGATGGTCCTTTAGACCATTACAGTGCCTCCTCCCCAAGTTCCTGCACGGTTCCACAACTGTTTGGACTAGGTAGGGGTAGAATTGTGTTATCTTTTCAGGTTTGAGTGATGTACTTTTGGCTTCTTGTTTTTCAGATATTGCCAAAGCATCATTAGTATCAGAGAATAAGCCTAAGACATTTCAGGCTAAAAGAAAATCTTTAACAAAGGGAGGCGTCTGAAAATAGGAGCCTGGTTAGAAAGTAGCTCCTCAGCCAGAATTTTAATATAGGCCTCACAGCACAGCTAAGGTCATTTTTGAGATTTTTAATTAAAGTGTGTCCGTGCTAATGTTGACTCTGTCAAGTCAAGGAGTGTTTGCCCTTCAATCATTGTATTTCAAGGCACTGACTGCCCACTTTTGACAAGTGAAAAATGTCTTTAGTTTGGAATTCTGTGACAGGAGGATGTGGCTTTTATAGTTAAGTGTCATATTCTCTCTGGTACTTTCTACCTCAAACCCAGAGGCTGCTACAAACATTTGAAGAGCCCTGCCCATGTTCTATCTAGACTCTAAATCTCACTGGGCTCTAGTTTCCTGGTCTGTGAAGTGAGAACCTAATTATACTGTCTCTGGAAGCACACCTCCAAAGGCTTCTCTATTCTTCTCTTGATCAAAATGTACCTGGCCCTGGTCCTTGCACTCAGTTTCCCAAGCTAGGAGTCTACCATGATGTCGCAGTAGGTTAGCTGTTCATGGCTGAGAGCTTCATTGCTTTCTTGGGGACATGGCTCTTGTTCCCTCACTCTTGTACACACACTGCTATAGTACGTGTTTCGGTGGCATTCTTCCTTGATAGCAGGATAGAGAAGTGAGGGTGAAGCCTCATTATTGACACTCTGTCCCCACCTTGGCTCAAACGAGCAGCACAGGATCAGAGCAGTGAATACGACACCTGTGTGTGCATAGAGGCATGGTGGGGAAGATCCTCCTCCCCAGCAGAAAATCATTACGTGACTGTCTCGAGTCTACAAGTTGTTCTCTTGGTCTGTAAAGGCAGGCTTTGCTGTGCTAGACTCTCCTATTGCCCCCTTCTCATAAACCAATTCACCCTCTCCAAGTTTCGCCAATGTAGATGGTAGACCATGTGATTGGCCCTCCTCAATTCTCCCAGCCAAAACTGATTGGATGAGGAGGAGGCATCTGATCCTGGAAGAATCATTCTGTAGGCTGAGTTGATCAATGATATGTCCTCTCTCAAGAATTTGAACTGTGAGACTTAGATTAACCGTGCTTGAAATCATCTAGACAAACCTGGCAACACTGAACCAGCATACCCCGTGGCCATATGTGGCCGAGGCTGGGTAGCTGCTGCTCTCCTTATAGGGCCCCGTGTTCCCCTCTAGTCCACCCCGCCCCCACCTGTCCTCATGTACCTGACCTGTGCGAGGATCACCTTCCCATGTGGTAGCGTTTGCTCCTTGTCTTAAAGCCTCATCTCGATTATGCTTTTGCTTGAGCTTCCTCTTTCTAAACTTTGAGCTGAGAAATTCTTACAGAAATGACCTAGCTGTTGGTTTCTTCCCCATCCACATGGAAGTTTGTCTATTTACCTATTAGTACATGATGCATGAACAAGTGGGTGGATTTTCATCCTATTTGGAGAGTACATGCAGATGGACTGAGTTAAAATATAGTCTGTGTGACATCCCTGAAATTCACCTTGATTTGCTCTTGAGTTGTTTTGGGCAGTTGGCTCTGGGTGTGCCAAGTGAGGTTGAGGTAGTTTGGGAACTACAGGAGACCTGGTGGCTAAGCCTTCTCTGCAGGAGTCTACTGGGGGTGTGTGGCCCATCTCTGCCTGCTTGCTCCCAGGGGTGGTTTGGTGTTCTGTGGAAAATATTGAATTTCTTTGGGATTAAAGCTGTGTTGAAGGAGAAAATTAAAGAGAGAGAGGAGAGGTGGCTTCCTGCGTTTAGTCCCTGAGAAGCTAGGATCATCCAAAGTAAGAGGTTAGTGAGACTGATTCACTGGTGCGTACAGTCTGAAAGAAGGCTTCTGCCGAGGAACACAAGAGACTGAGCCACGTGGGACTGAGATGCCCTCCTGGGGGCGGCATGATATCCTGAGGGACCAAGGGGCGGACTGCATGGCTAGATGTGCTGGCTACAGTGTCCCACCAGGGATCTGGGATCGTGTTTGGGTTCAACATTGTTTTTTTTTTTTTTTTTCTCCAGCACGTTTCTCAGAAACTGTGGAAAGCAAATGCTCAGGCATATGGGCTGCTGTCAGTGATAACAAATGTATTGTATATTCTTTTTTCTAAATTCTGGAAACTGCATTACCACATGGCTGGATATAAAATAACCCCACTCTTGTTTTAGATTGTTATGTGGTGTTTGTTTGTTTGTTTGAGAGAGAGGGGGGCAGGGAGGAGGGGCAGAAGGAGAGGGGAGA